ATGAATAGGATAGGTCATTAATTCATCAATCCAACCTTTGAAAAAGAAAAAAGAAAATAAAGCCGGACGAACGACAATAAAATACAGGAAACGACATTAAAGTTTGTTTTATCTGAAAATTGCGAGTGTGCAAAACGAAGGTTGCTATACTTATCTTCACCGTACCCGCCTCTCTCCCTCCCTCTCTCTCTTCTCTCTCTCTCTCTCTCTGGTTTCTCTATCAGTGTGTCTCCCACGTCTTACAGCACAGATAAACCGGTGAGTAAAGTCTCTATCTTTTTCAAGTATTTCCCCTTCAAATTTCAATTTTTGCATAATTCTCTGCCCTAGAATTCATCACCAAAGACACCATGTTCAATTCCGATATCTGGGTTTTTGTATAAGTTGCTCGTCGGTTTTATGGTTGCGAAGGGTTTATCTGAATTCAATACGTGTTGGTGTCCTAGAATGTTAATTTTCCCTAGGAAAACTTGTTACCATTCAATTCATACACTTTGAAGATGATTTATCTGGTTACTGCATAAATCTCTGTTGCCTGCTATCTTAGAATTTCAGTTCGCGATGTTGATTTTATCGCATGGGTTTGAAGAAATACACCGCAAATTGTGTAGCATTGCTTTCGGTGATGACTGTGTTGAGTCCGAAAGTTTACAGCTAGTGAAATTCCTTTATTTATTTAAATTCAGGGATTAGACGAAACCGGAAAGCTTTTACCTTTTAATTGTTGTTTGGGGCTGTCGTGTCATGTAAAATAGAATTAGGTGATGAGATAAGGGTCGTCCATTTGCTAGTTCTGTTGGGTGCTTTTTCGGTTTTTATTAAAGCACTGATAAATAACTAAAACTCAGTGCTTTGTCTTCCCATATATTTAAACAACAAATTACTTGTTTTCTGCAACCTCAAATTCTTGAGGCCCGTTCACCTAAGAGTTGTTGGTCTTGCAGTCAGGTCCTTCGTTTGCTCCCAAGTGGTATGGGCTTCGACTCTTTCCCACAGTACCCACCAAGCAAATGCTAGGGTTTCTTGCTCTCCAAATACTGTGGGGTCAGGCAGGGGGCCTAGTGATTAGTCGGGTCAAAGACTTGAATACACCAGTTTAAAAAATAAATTAAATTAAATTAAAATAATAAAATGCTTGAGGCCTGTCATTTACAGATTGGTTTTTGGCTTTTTTTTTTTTTTTCTTTTGGCCAGAGATGTAATGGAAATGTGTGGGAGTAATTATGGATGAAGAAGGTGGTGGGAGGAATGAAGGAAATATGAAATGGAAACTTGAAAAAGTAAACTACTTTGTTCCAAAACTACAAAAGCAAAATTGTTAGCAAATGGGCCTTTCATTACCCAAAAAGAAAACATTGCTATAGTATTTAGTTTTATTTACATGTTTTGTTTTCAGCGCTAGAACGGAGATTGAGCCATGGCATCCCAGATGGTTAGAGAATGGACTGGAATAAATAGCTTTGCACCCGCCACTCAGACTAAGTTGCTTGAATTGCTTGGAAAACTTAAGCAAGAGGTTTCATTTCTTTGCAATGTTAATTAGTACTCAAATTCATTTATCCTTTTTCTATTTGTTTAATTACATTTTAACTTGCTTACTCTTGTGTGCTGCATGTGTAGAATGTGAACAGTTTGACTGTTCTAGTAATGGGGAAAGGCGGTGTTGGAAAATCATCCACTGTCAATTCACTCCTTGGCGAAAGGGCTGTTCCCATCAGTCCTTTTCAGGTTTTTATGTGTTGCTTTTGTTTTAGTCTGGATTCACTGGGTTCTTTGCCTGGCCTTTGTAAATACTCTTCGGATTTTTGTTTGTTGTTTCTGTCTAGGCTGAAGGAATTAGACCCTTGATGTTTTCACGTTCGAGGGCAGGGTTTACATTAAACATCATTGACACCCCTGGGCTCATAGAAGGAGGATATGTTAATGACATGGCTCTTAATAATATTAAAAGGTTAGCTCTTGCTTTACATTTTTTTTTTTTTAAATCTTTTCAGTCTCTTGTGGAAATGAGCTGCGGGCTCTTGTTCAAGAATTTTTACGATAATTCAAACTGACTTAATTCTGTTGGTGGTATTCTTGAGCAGCTTCCTTCTGAATAAGACCATTGATGTTCTACTCTATGTGGATCGGTTGGATGCTTATAGGGTGGACAACTTGGATAAGGAGGTTGTCAAAGCCATAACAGATAGTTTTGGTAAGGGAATATGGAATAGGGCTTTGGTTGTTCTGACACATGCTCAGCTCTCACCACCAGATGGTTATGCTTATGATGACTTTGTCTCCAAAAGATCTGAGGCTCTTCTGAAAATTGTCCGTCTTGGTGCTGGATTGAAAAAACAGGATGCACAGGTGAGCAATCTCTCCCTCCCAAGTTTAGGCTGTGTTTTAAGCTCCATGTCTTCCTCCTTTTTCTTTGATGTAATTGGCATTATGGTTATTTCATTGAAGACATTAGGCAGGATCTTGTATTGTCCTGTTAGACTATTAATTTGAAAGTACATGAACTCTGTGAAGGGTAGTTTTTGCTTTGCCTTTGGTACTTGTGTTTGTTGGGGGGTTTGGGGGGGTTGGGGAACATGAAACTTTCTCTTAAATAGTGCAAGTAGTTTCTAGGATACTTTCTTGCTATGCCATCATTAACTGAAAAAGAATCAAGCATTCGTGCTGGATTTTTTAACAAGGTTATGGCACTTATGACAGATTGGAAAGAATATGATTTATAAAATAATGGTTCTTTTTGCTTCTGTCCCATGCCTTTAAGACCTGGAAATTAGATGAATATGATAGATTTTGCATCTGACCATGTTGTATGATATGCATGACTATTTCATAAGAAGGTTCTAGCTCACCCCAAAATCTTCAAAATAATTGTTTTGAATTATGTATATGTTCATGTTTGAAATAGGGTTTTACGTTGGAGCTTGATGATTAGACTAGAGGGTAGTTTGATGGGATTAAAAAAGGGATAAAAAATATTGTAATTAGTTTCTTGTGAATTCGTTTGTCCTTTGTCAACAAATTGTCAGCAAAGATGTAGTCTTGCTTGCCTTCACTCGGTTCCGTGAGTTTCTGGTGCGTTTGACAAATTTGATCCATGACTTAAGTATTAAATCCATCCTTTGTTTTATACTTCTGAAGTGATATGATTTTGTTTTTTATGGTCTGTGCCAACTATACTTCAAATTGAAGTTTAGGGGACGGGGGAGATACATATGTAAACTTGAGTATTCTTTCAGATAGATGACTTGTTGTCTGTGAGTTACTCCGTAGCTCTTGCAATGAAGTGGAGGCATGATCGGACTCTAATGCCTAACTGTTGAGTTTCTTGGATTAATGTGTCTCAATTTATACCAAACCTTCCAATGATTACACGTCAGGTTGGACTTGCAGATGAATACATAGTAGCAATGAGATTCCCGTTATCATGCTAGGAATCTAGGACAGTTTATTCTTTTTTCACGTGATGTTCAGGAGGGAATTGAAGTCTAAGCAGTGGTAAAACAGGAAGACTTATGAAGTATAAGGTCATAACGCTAGTTGTTTTATTTGGGTGTCATACTTTTTCTATGTGGTAATGCTTTTATATACGGTTTTTTCAATCTCGTGTTTCTCTTTTCTTTTACATTTAAAATAGAAGAATAAGTTTTCAAGCTTGTTCTTTCCTTTTGCCTTGCTTTTTCAGGAAGGCCTTGTGTGCTTGCAAAGTCTTTCATTTTTCTGAAAGTTTTCCTTTCTTCTCTTTAGGCTTCGAATATTCCTGTTGTTTTAGTTGAGAACAGTGGGAGATGTAACAAGAATGAAAGTGACGAAAAGGTTAGTTATTTTCCTCACGTCATGTTTACAGTTGTTCCCCTGAAATACAGTTACGCATCATTCCATCTTTGTTTGACTGTCGTTTGGTAACAGGTTCTTCCAAATGGAACGGCTTGGATATCTCATTTGGTCCAAACAATGACAGAAGTTATCTTGAATGGAAGCAAGTCTATTCACGTTGACAAGAAGTTGATCGAGGGACCTAACCCCAATGACAAGGGGAAGTTGTTGATCCCTCTGTTTTTAGCGATCCAGGTGAGCTTCCATTTTAATACCTTGAGTGCTTTTCTTTTCTCTCTATTGATGCAGGGACTAATATCCATTTTCATTTTTCTCCTTTCCTGTGAACAGTATTTCTGTGCCATTAAGCCGATAGAACGAGCAATCAAGTGTGATATTGCAAAAGAGAGTAGACCATCATGGGAGATGCGGGATTCCAGTGCGGCCGGTCGCAAGTTCTGATTTGGTTTTGGTTTGCCCATCTCCTCTTGGAAGTTCTACTGGCTTCTTGTGCTTCCCAACGTTTGATCATCCGTGTTTGCGTTTTTCTATTTTTCCGGTAGCAGTTAAAGTAGTCATTGTGAGATTATGCAGTATTTATATGCCGAGGCTTTTGGATCTTGTCCTTGAGGAAACAGATTTTGTACCGTAACCGGGACACCCTTTAATATTATTTGTAATGCCCTTTCTATTCAGCGTTGCCCGTTTTAAAATAAAAAATACCACCTTTTCCTTTCGCGGTCAAACATAACTCATGTTTACTTGAAAGTATGGTTCTGACCGTCGAATTGAATGAATATACAGCCGCCAGGTAATTAATAGATTTGAAGTGCAGGTCTATGTTGATCGATTTTGTGGGTCTACCTTGCAGACTCGATGAAACAATCAATATTTTTTTTGGACTTCCTGCACTCCGGACGAAATCGATTTTGTTGGACATTCTGCCCTTGTCCAATAAAATCAATTGTTTCATCACGTATCCCGCAGAGGGCAACGGGGATAAAAGACATGGGTGCTGTATTAACTCCTAAAAAGTCATCCTACACTAGTCCCTAGTTTAAGAAATAAAGCGGGAAGGACCGCAACCGTGCAAGATGACAATTTTTCGGAGTACTGATAACAGTTTCCTGTAACAATTTCATATAACAAAGGAAAAAATCGTATAATTTATGTTTGATCCCAAAGAATAAGGCAACAATAAGCATTAGGTTGAAATAGATATAGTACGAGAAAATGTCTTACATCGGTTCATCTCCCCTAAAGCTGACGGATTATCACAAGACGATTTTATCTACGACTAGAGATATAATATCCCACCCAAAACTAAATCAAAATTGCTGCGGTCCACAATGCGCATCAGGGCAAAAAGATGCACCAACGAGGATGGATATAATCAAACCGATAGGGTCAGTTCTGTATGGATGAAACAACTTACCACAAAAGAAACTATCTCCTGCTTGCAGCCTTGCCCTTGCTTAGACTCGCAAGTTCTTCGATGAGCTTCTTCTCATCAGTGCTCAATCTCTTTGGGATTTCAACCTGCACGCGGACAAGCTGATCACCTCTCATGTTGCTTTTGTTTAAGAGGGGAACACCTTTCTTTGCCATCACAAGGGTTGTGTTCGGTTGGGTACCAGCTGGAATCTTCAAATCAACCATCCCATCGACCGATGGAACCTTAATCGTAGTCCCCAATATTGCATCTATATAGGATACCTTGCAGGTGTACAGTATGTTGGTATCATCACGTTTGAGGACAGGGTCTGATATGACATCTATAATAACAAATAGGTCACCAGGAGACCCGCCCCGCCTTCCAGCATTACCTTCATTTCGGACTCTTAAACGGCTCCCAGAGTCCACACCAGCGGGAACCTTCAGACTGATCCGCTTTGTCCTCCTCACCCGACCATCCCCAGAGCAAGTGTTACAAGGGGTTGATGTTTCCCCAGTCCCACCGCATGATGAGCATGTCATAACCTGTTGGAATACACCTAATGGAGTCCTTGCTGATTGAACCACCTGACCTTGCCCACCACATGTGCTGCATGTGGATGCCTTGGTGCCTGGTTTAGCACCAGAACCATTGCAAGTCCCGCAGCTCTCCAATCGGCTAATTTCAATCTCCTTTTCAACCCCAAAAACTGCTTCCTTGAAGTTCAACACAAGATTATAATATTCATCCTGGCCATCAACTGCTCGACTCCTAGAACCTCTGCCCCCCATTCCGCCCATCCCACCCATACCACCCATCCCACCCATACCGCCATGCCCTCAAATAGGGACTCGAACAGATCAAATGGGTTGCTGAAATCCTGCAACATCACAGTTCATCGTCCCATTGTAAGAAAGTAGACATGCAAATGAAGAAATAATTTTGTGCCCAATCATGAGTTTGAAAGGTACTTACCCCCGTACCCATACCAGCACCTTTAATTCCAGCCTCTCCATACTTGTCATATAGTGATCGTTTTTCATCATCAGACAAGACCTGCGAAGATTAAATAATTAATATAACTAATATAATAAAGGCCACCAATGATATGTTATAAAACCATGCTTTTACCTCATATGCATTACTGATTTCCTTGAATTTTGTTTCTGCCCCGGGTTCTCTGTTACAAAAAAAATACAGTTCCCACAAAATGAAAACAGACAACATTTACCATATAGATTGTTAAACTAAATTGAATAGAAAATTTCGACTTGCATAACAGATATGATTACATAGGTAAGATATCAAACTTCTTACATCCAGACATGATTACATGTCTCGACATATAGATGAGCTGGGCCAACACATCAACTTTCAAAAATCCAGACACAATCATATCTACATAATTTCTGACAGAAAGTTCGCAAAAAGATTCAAATGTATTGCCTGATTAGATTATTTGTCCTGAATCCTGATTCCTGATGGAAATTTTTAAATGTGGACATTTTGCTTAGACGGAATAGCTTCCACCATTTTAGAAAAAATAAAAATTTATAGCTCCCGAGCTAAAATAGAAATGTACAACTCAGCCCAACCTCAATGCTTCAATCAAGTTTTGTGTCCTTAAATTTAAGGTTCCTCTTACCGAACCCCTTTTCAGGAATAAATAAAATAAAATCACACAGAACAACCCAAGAAAACTGACTAAACTAAACTAAACTCTCCCAGTCATTTAACATGGGTGGTGAGATGGGGAACCGGAGGAACTTTGATCAGATTCTGGTCCACCAATTCCAAAACAGCCACACAGCCCCAAAAAAGTAGACAACAAGTGATTTCTAGTAAGCTGCCCTTTTCACATCCAACTTCTTTTCCACTTTACAAATATTCATACAAACTTTAATTTGCTCTACCGAACCCGTAATGCATTTTCTTTGCCAAGCCTAAGACTTAAATCACAAGTTGCAACATCCCAAAAACATACAGCATCTTTAGCCATGAACATCTCTAGCAGCTCTAGCTTTACCACATCAGCACAGATCCCGAACTCTAAAAATGAGACAAACTAGTATTACCTACAGAACGTGCCTCTCATCATTTCTAGCCCAAGATCATTACAAACCTTTGAATTGACTTCAATAGGGAGGAAAAAAAACACTTATATAACTCTACTATAGACAAAGGATATGAATACAGCCAAGGTCTTGGGAGAAAATTCTTCTGCATATAAAGAATAAAGTAACCATGAACCTTCAAGCATACCATCCTCAAATCCTATGGGCTGACTACTAAGTGTACATACTATCTGGCACTATAATACAAATGACCAAACTCTAATGGAAACTGAGCACGTAGACTAGAGATATGTTTTAACATTCAATTACAGCATAATGTAACTGAGATAACCCCTCTTTTTATAGGACCAAATACAGAGAATAACAGATATAAAGTAACATTAACGGAGAAGAGGAAAAACAAATGGTAAACACTACTAGTCAAAATTGAGCTGGCAAAACTGGCTCACTTGTTAACATCTGGATGATAACTTCTTGCAAGCTTCCGATAAGCTGAAAAGTGAGAAGTATGCAGAAAAATTAGAAGACGATAATCCAGAGGAAAAAAAAAATATACAAAAGAAAAACCAAAAAAAGCACAAACCATGATTTATTCAATGCTTGAAGCCACTCACTATAATTTATTCAATCTTTCAAGCACACAAATTCACACTAGATGCTTTATTTATCCAAGAGTGATAAAAGCTTAATTTTTGTTTGTTCTGACTTGCACAAAACCAAAGCATTTCACATATTAGGTTCCAATATGAAGGGTTACTTTCTAATGTACATTCATTACAGCAATCCATTCATAAAGGTAATATGAAATCCAACAAAAACTTTCAAACACATGGATCAGATAGAATATATCATTCTAAAACCTCATGTAAAAATTCATATAGGGTGGACATTGGAGAAAGTACATAATAGGATTTTAAAAAGAGAGAGACATATCATAAAAAATCAAGCTGAGATTGTCAACTAAAGGTGCACAACCAAGTTACATTAGGTACAAAATTCCTATGAATGAGAATACTCATTCTCCCACTGCCTCAAATAGCTGCATATTCCTTATTTCATCCCCCAAAGGAAAAAATCATGACTAAAATAGGTTGAAGAAAGTAATCACGTGCAAGACTACTGAACATAGCTAAGAATACATTCATAAAGTTAGGCAATCAAGAAGAAAGGACACTTTTTTTTAGTCAAAGAAGAATGACGCTGAGATCATCACAATACAGAACAGTCCTCATACAGCCGAGGTGTTCATATTATATTTCTCCACTCTTCAAATCCAGGATTTGGGGCCAAGGCATCGTACCATTCAGTTCTCTATCCATGCTAAAGACAAAGAGTATTACTTAACAAATAGTTAGACTGCACATATGCAATATATTCCTTTGCGTACTTTTGCCATACATATATGTGGGGGAAAATAAGCTAAACATGCCAGGCTAAGGGAGAAGTAAGAACTGAATATCATAATATGCAAGCAGTTAGCTCTGTAAAAAGACACAGATTAGGTTTTTTAATCTCAGATCCACAAAAATGATAGAAAAGCACATAAAAGAAACAGAAACAATACACAGACAATAGTTTACGAGGAAAAAAGAAGAAAGATAATAGAAGAGTAGATACCGCTTTTAATTTCTGATTTACTTGCATTTCTTGACACCCCAAGAACAGAATAAAAGTCCTGGATGTAAGAATATGTGAAACAGTTAATGTGTATTCATTCATTAAGCTTCTTAATTCAGGGGAAGAAAAAGTACAACCAACGTTTGTTATACTCACAGTATCTGCTCTAACTATAAATCGTGCTCCCCTGCTACGATGCGAAGTTTGAGACGGGCCTGCACAGAATAGAGCATTCAAGGAATCCCGAGAGAACAAGCTTGAACTCGGTGCCCCCAAATATCCTATTTTGCTTGATACACTGCATTCAAGATGATACTTCAACTAATACTTTTAAACAATCTAAGAGATGCTGGTAGCTTGTTAAGCAGATGCGTTAATTTAGAAGTAGAAACCAAACCAAAACAAAATGAAAGGAACAGATACAGCATATATAGAAATAACGTCAAAATCGATAGGAATATAATCAGAACTTTATAAGTGGAGTGCATTGTGTTCGTAAGGCTCTTAAATAAAAAAAAATAAAAAAAAAGAACTTACCAACATTGGGATGTGAGGACCTTGTTTATGGCACAGGGCCTTAGCATTGTCTGAGGACGAATGCCCCATTGAGTAACCCATGTACTTCCACAATGAATAATTGCCATTCAGTGAACTTTCTGCGAGCACTGAGCAGAAACAAACACACTATATCAGGAATTTTTTAATGTTCCAACAAAACATACTTGGGGATAACTCGTATTGAAGAAATAGTTCTGTAAATGACTATTCAGAGAGGTGTGATAAACAATAACAGAGAAACCGACCACAACACGAATGGAGAGAGAAGGACTAGTCAACCTAGCAGAGGTCCTGACGTACAGAGCCTCTCCTCTTGCAACATTCTTCCCCTCTTATCTCATCTTTTAGTTAATTACAAATATTAATGTCTTATTAGTTATTATTATACACCTTCTTTGTGAATCTCTACACTTTCTCGCAAACACGTATAGCACAAAGCTCCGTATCATCATTGGGTTTAACTAACTTACGGAAATGAACCCAAATGAGCCCCTTTTCTCTTAAGATGTTTTTGTTTTCATACAAAAGGCATTGACTCCAAAGGTTTTTACTAGTGCAACTAAACCTTATACGCACAACAAAAGAAAGATGCAAAAAATTGAACAAGCATGTGGCAAGCAACGGACGCTCATATAGTCCGAAACAAACAACTTACAAGTAAAACATATAGATACGTACAGTGCCATCGAATAGCAGAAGCGAAGAAAAGCTTAAAAATTGAAGAAAAAGGCACCAAACTCAAGTATCTCAAATTCTCAATTGGTAGGTAAAAACAAAGAATTTACGTTTCCAGTGACAAATTAACACAGCGCAGGCAAATCGAACCCGAAGGACGAAAAGGAGAAATATTGAAATTACCTGATATGCGATGCGAACCGCTAACCCAGTGCTCAAAGAGCGCCTAGCAATGGAACACACAAAGCTCACGAAATATCAGAAATCAAGTAAAATAAAGCAAATTTGGGAAACGAACTTGTTGAAACCCTAACGACGGTGAGAGCAGAGAGAGAATTATGGCGGAGCACAGTGGTGAACGGCGGCGGTGTGGGGCGCACAAGAGAAGCAAAGAGAGGGTGTGGATGGCGCGGAAGTGAGGGCTCCAAAGTGAGCGAAGTGGGGATGAGATTGCGTGGCTTCAACAGCCGAACTGAACTCAACAAGTACCAAACGCTGCGTAGTAGGGCCAAACAAATCAAAACGACGTCTCTAGATTCACTTCACTTTGGGTCCAAAGTCCAAATAAATCAAAACGACGTCTCTAGATTATTCCAAATCATACAATGCTTTATCTTGGGTTCTCTTCGACAAAGGTTTTTTTACCAAAGGACATACCACGAAGTTTTGTTTGAAGAGGTGTGCATTTTGAAGTTTTGTGTTCGTTCTCTTTTGTTTATAATCTGTCATTATTTTCTGGATGCGAGTTTCATTTAAATTTTTAGGTTTTCATTTTTATTCCTGATTTTTACGCTGAGCTTTAGATGATTTTTTAACTATTTGTTGTACCATCCTTATACTACCTTTCTAGTGATTCAATAAAAAAGTTTAGCTCATACAAAATATAAACTCATATACTCGAGATCCATCACAAATCAGAGGTACTAATTTTAAATTTGGGACTTCAATACCATTTAACTCTATCAACTATCCTTTAATCTACAAAAGGTTTGTAGCCCAAGTGGTTTAGGGGTGTTTTTGTGACTTGAGCTGTACTTATAAGTTCACGAAACAGTTGCTAGGGCAATTGTGCACTTCACGGAAAGAAAGAAAAAAAAGTCCTTCATGGAGTTAGGAAGGAAAGAGAAAAAGTGCACATATGACTCAGATAATCAGATTCTAGTGATAGAGATGAAAGTGCATACATGTGCTCCAGTTTTTCAGGTAATGGCTATTAAGTGAAGAGTTTGGCCAAGACAACACGATGAAGAGTTTGGTCAAGACAATCTTAGTAAAGAATAACAAGTTGGCAAATCAGAGTTTCAAGACTCGATGGATTTAAATGCGTTAAGATCTCCAGATTGTCAGAAATGACTGAGATGATGTCTTTCTCAGTTATGGAGTCGTTAGCCCTTACGAATTATTTTCTCACAAAATTGAGTTCATTTTCAGTCCCTCTTTTACAAAATCAATTACAAGTTTAGCGAGTGAGTTTAATTATTTGTACTTTATTCGCTCATTATATGTGCAACTTGTGATTAACTTAGTCTTTTGTTGTTGTTGCAACCCTCCTTTTTGGAAGGTTGGAATTGCAATCTAAATATAGTGTCTAGATCGTTACACCTTTCGTGTAGGACGGAACTTACCCGACAAAGAATTTCACTACCTTAGGACCGTTATAGTTACGGTCGCCATTCACGGGGGCTTCGGTTGCGGGCTCCCTTGTTTTCAAGTCACCAACTTCCTTGACCTTCCGGCACTGAGCAAGTGTCAGCTCCCATACATGGTCTTGCAACTTTGCAGAGATCTGTATATTTTGTAAATAATTGCGGGGGCATGGTCAGTGTTTAAATATTGTATTGTATCTCAAATGGAACCTTTTCTATGAAGATATTTTTTTTGTCAAACAATAGATTTGTTAGATTAGATATTAAATTAGGGAGTCAACAGAGTGTAAACCCCCGCCATGGTGCAAGGGCAACACTCCCCATTGTGGTAGAGGGGCACTTGCCTATAAAAGATTTTTTTTTTTTTTGAACAAACAATAATATCTCCACTAAGAGAAAGGGGGTGGGTTAAGCCTCACAATGGGCTAGTAATAATGTGGTTCAAATTCGCCTTAACGAGAATCAAACCTAAGACCTCTCACTTACAAATGAAGAAGAATACCGCTAAACCTCTCACTTCAAATTCGCCTATAAGAGATACTTATGTGACAACTTTTGTGATGTGTTCATATAACAATTCTTTCTTTAATAGATAGGGTTGTGAGATTCGAATTTAATACTTTTTTTGTTTTTATATAGGTAAGTCGTTAGACTAATAGCTAAATTCGGTTGCATCTAACCATTCTTTTCTTTTTTGTTTTTGATCAATACATCTAACCTTTAAAATAATGTATGTTGCTCACGAATCTGAAATTTTTTCTAATGTTGAAGTACATTACATCTTAAGTGTTTTTTTATGATATGTTTAAGCGGTTAGAGCATCTCCAACTGTTTTTTTATTTTATTAATATTTTTACATTTTGTTAGTTTAGTAAATGAATAGTGCCTAAAAACTATTTTAGCTATTTAATTTAACTTATTATCTCCAGCAACGATTAATTTTTAACAAATTTTGACTATATTTTATTATTATTATTTTTACAAACAATAACATTAACGGGGTAAATTTTTAATTGTTAAGGGAGAGAAAGATCGGTGGGGATCAAACCTGCACTTTAATATTTATACAACCCATCTTTCTAAGTTTGGCTCTTTAAACAAGCATTCTAAAGTTTAAAAGTTCTCTTGGAGATGCTCAATCATAATGTAGATAATGACATGACATAATCGATGTTTAAACACATAACATCTATTGATTGATTATCATTCGGATATATAGAATAGAATAATACACCAAAGTATATTAATAGCTTATTTGGGGGTAATTTAAAAATGACTGAAAGTACTTTTAGAGAAAATGTTTTTAAGTTCCAAAAACACTTGAAGTGTTTTATGTAAGAAACATCAGTTATGTGCTTCTTCCAAAAAGCATTTTAAATATTTTTTTTCAGGATTTAGTTGCATGTTTACTAATTATTGGTTTCAAAAATATTTTCATAAAAAAAAAACGATTTCAACCATTTTCAAAATATTTTCAAACAAGCTCTGAAATTTTCTTAAAACACGTAGTTCCCGTTTTGTACTCTGGTCATTGTTTGAGCCACAGCCCATAATAATTTGGGCTCTGCTAAGCTGTAAGACATAGCCTTAAAGCCCATTGGATATGATATCTCCATAATATCTAAACCAGTTCAAACCCCGGGTCCCCTTTTCGGCCTTTATCTTCAAAAAGTGCACTTAAAGTCATCAACACCACCTTCCACGTCCTCCCACGTGTCCGATCTTATCCACTCCCCTTACCAAACCCATCCCCTACTATCACATTCCACCTGTTCCCTTCCAAATACGCATTTCCAATTGCACGCTTTATTCCCATCGTACCCTTACCTATTTTACGCAAAGACCAAAATCTCCAACTGTACAAACACTGGAAGTTAAGCTCCACATGCAATGAAGCTGTACGCCGCAGCAGCAGATAAATCCCATCGTCTCCCTCAAATGTTCAAAACCATAAAAATCCATACGCCTCCATCTTCACTCCCACCGTTTCCTGATTTCCACCATCTCTTAAATCTTCTGCTTTTCTTCCTGCATTGCGATCCCGCTACCGACAATGGCAACTCCTCTCACAGTCCTTCAGACCCGTTTCGATCCGACCCAACGCCTCCGCCTCCCAACGGTCCGACCCGAACCGCCGCAAGCCCGCTTCCGCCAACTGGTGGACCCCGCTCTTCGGCTGGTCTTCCGACCCTGCGGAGTATATCAACGCCGATCCGGCACAGAACCCCAGCAACAACGATCCGGGTTCTGACCGGACCCGAGCCGGATCCAGATTCGCGCTGGGGTGCTTCACGGAGGAGAAGGCGAAGCAACTGCGGAAAAAGACCCTGGAGACTTCCGCGTTCCACGATATCATGTACCACTCGGCGATCGCGTCTCGGCTCGCCTCCGATTTATCGGACAAGTAGCGAGAAGACAAGAAGTTTATGTCGCCGGAGCGCCTGCGAATTTTTAGCCGGCCGTTGCTGTTCTTCTTTGTCATTGCTTTTGGGAATGTAGCCATTTGGCATATCCAATTTGTCGGAATGAAATTAGAATTTTATCGATATTTTTGTGTTTTGTGGTTGGATCTTACTTTATTTATTTATTTTTTTTCCAAAAAATATTGGATGCTTCATAAAACATCATCGGGGAATACAATTAAATGGCCAAAGAAAGACAAACCAACTCAAAATATCATGGGAAATAGCGTGTGTCAATTGATTTTGTGAATGTAAAATTAAAAATAATTGTTTTTATGTTTTTTAATTGTTTTGTTGGCTCTATTTTTAATTAACTAAAAATAACAAATAAAAGTAATCACCATTAAAGTAGGATTGTGTTGAAATGTATTTAACCATACCTAATTATTTTAGGGTAAATTAGACAAACTATCTCATAATTATGAGTCGAATCACAATCGCATTTTGTGTTTTAATCATTGCAATGATATACTTCAATTTATGCATTTATTACAATGTCAAATGTCGTTAATTTTTTTGTAAATTTGATTGTTAAATAATAACATGGCAGGAACAGAACCTATTCCTTCGCTAACTGAAATAAAAAAATTAACTAATTTAAAAATTAAAATTAATTTTAAAAAAAATCTCTCTCCGCCTTTCTCCCCAGAAATCGTCTCCCTTCGTCCACCCCTCACTCCCTCCTCCGCCCCCTTCTTCCTCATCCTCCTTAAACAAAACCAAATTTCGTCCTCCTCCGGCAACAACTGATACACCGCCGATCGCAAAAGCGTCGGTCGTCCTCCATCGGATGGAGATCAACCGAGCCTTTCTCCCATATCATTTTCCCTCTCTTTGAATCCATCACCGACTGGGGCTTTGGCCCCACTACCATTTCTTCAATTTCTTGGTCTTCACCATTTCTTCAAGTGGCCATTTGAAAATTGGCCCAGAACTTCGGATTTTCGAAATAACAGGACCACCACTACTACAATTAGCGCAGTAGCAACCATCGCCATCACAGATCCACTTCCCCGACGCGTGTCAACCTCTACACCTTCTCCTCTCTGTCTCCGTCCGTCCGGTTCTCCATCAACCACCATTCGATTTCTCCCAACCATCATTCGAATGCATCCACTGCCGTTTCAAAGAAAACCAGATCATTTCGTTGCAGCCTCCACAAGAATCAGGGAGGGAGTCAAAACACCGGGAATTTCCCTTTGCAAAGGTAAAATATGTGCCAATCTTATATGACGAACTCGCTGGTCTGAATCGATGGACTCGAAGG